CAAACCCTTAAAAAGTCCGTCACCCAAGAACAAACACCTCCCAAAATCAGAGCATGGACATATCGGCTCAAGATGGGTGCCTGTATTGGGTATGGTTGTTGGGGTTGGTTGAATGGAAAAGCAAACGAAACCAAGTCTATGTCAGAAGTTGGGTTCCAGGAGCATCTCCATGTGTTTTGCCCAGAGTGCTATATTCCTTGTAGTTCCCCTGAAACCCACTCCTTTGAACATTTAATGCAGGAACATCCACGTGAACAATAAACATAATAGGACTAACTCCCAAATGCACCAAAGTCCTTGGTCTCGGGGTTTCTCAAAATGGTGGAAACCTCTGTTTATTGGTATGTAAAGGTAAGCCAAAGGTAACCCACCCTTTTGGGGGGGTCCCCTATGTTGACTGGGCTTCGACGCCAGTTGAGCAAAATCGCTGCCCTCCCGCTCCTCTCTGCGGCGGTCGTGGACGGGCGCGTAGGCCTTGAATAACTCATCAATCATCAGCCGTCTGGGAACACATCTATGATTGACAAGCCCGAAATTTGGTGTGTGTTTATTCGGGGTACCTTCTCACCTGAGTTTTAACCACATATCATGAAACACAAATAAGGAATCACAAGTAGTCCAAGTGAGCTTCATCATGGGCATTCGCTTGTTCAACCCGTAGGTGAGGTCACTATTTAGTTGCATGACAGAAACTGGATCGATTGAGCCGCGCGATATTCTGGCATGGCCAAGGGAAACCACATCCAACGGCTCCAGGTGCCCCTCAAGTAGGGCTTCTTATTATGTGAGCTTTGTAAACCCATCCCATCACCCATTTATGTCGGCAACATAGCTGTGTGTATTCTTATCCACTGTACCCACTTACTCCAAAGGCGGTGGCTGGCCCACTTGTGTCAAGGATGCGACTGGGCGAGACAGATCCGACTCCGTGCAGCATGTCAATTGTTAGCCGGTGGAAAGCGAGCATGGAAAAAACAAACAACAAGGCAAATACTTTTTTTTTTTAAAGGCAAGCTAAGTCTGGCTTCCCCTCTGGTCACCATTTCCTTTCCATTGGGGTAGGGCAGGTAGGGCAACGCCTAGGGAGCTTAATTAATGCGCGGCACGTGATAACCGAGCCCCCAAACAAGGTTGAAACAAGAAGAAACCAACCTAGGGAATTTGACGCGACCACGTGCGGAGGGGGTTCAAACCTTACTCGACCAGTGGCCACAGAGAAACTACACCTGTTGAACTGCATCTTAGGGAAGCCCAATGACAAACAAAGAGGATACTAGGGTGCCACAGGCCTGCGCAACCTGAGGCGAACGCAGACGAAGGGTTGTCATACATGGGCGCATGCCTGGCGAGCAAATCAGGTGCCCATGCCCGGACACGGGCAAGTTGCATCCAAATCCGAGGCTCCAAGGCGTGTTCAAATTTACAGGTGTCATAATCATCTTTTCTGGGGGGGAACCAAGCATACAGGAAACTCACCAAGCATACAGGGGAAAGGGGGCAGTAGAATCCGCTGAACTGGGAATGTGGTTGCACCTAATGAACTTGGCACTACCCGTTGCTTCGCAGTGATTCTTGCCCTGCTATGTTCACCTGCCCCAAAAGTTTCCCTCAGGTTATTTTTGCAAAAACCGTGCACTTCGGCCGTGGGCGTATGAGACACTTGAAGGGCTCACGTGGACTCTTTTTTTTTGAGTCGGCAATGCCACCCCAAATGAGGTCAAGGACAAAGGTTCTGTTCTTGTCGCTTTGTTCCCACATCCCACATTAAAGGCCTTCATTGGGGCTCAAGGTCGCCTGCGCCCATGTTTCAGCCTCTAAGTGCTGTGCTACAGTATGTTTCATAATATACATCATGGCCTGGTGAATGCCCGTCATCAAGACCTGCTGGCAAACCTTGGTAGTCCAGGCCAAAACGCCGCATCGAAACCCGAATGCATTTGCTCGCCCCGCTTGTCACGAGCCCGATGTCCCACCGAACAAAAATAACAAAGGCAAGCATGAAAAACCACATTACTCACATGATATGAGCTCGAACACAATCGTCCATGTCCCTGGGGTCAGGCCATAGTGAGAAACTGTGAAACGTGCTATTATGTACGCAAATATTATGTATATACAACGCATGTATTAATTTATACTCAAAAAAACTTCCATAGGGATGCACAACCCCGTAACCCCATACCAGCCATCCAGCATGGATTCTACGTTGCCCTTCTGCCGTGCATGCCTGTCGTAATCCTTGTCCTTGGCATCCGCCTTGGGCTCCTTCTTCCGAAGCGCCCGCGGCCTGATGATCATCCCCCCACGGATCCCTTTTATTGCCCCCTTACTCCCCTGCAAATTAACGTGGAACCTCAAAAAGGTGTCGCTCTAAAGGAGCTGCTCTACAGACGGCAGTTTTTGATGGTAGGGGTTCCATGTCAATTTGCAGAGGAGTGAACACCCCACATTCAGCGGCAAATTGCTAGAGTTGACACACCCGAATAAGGAACCTTCTGCATGGGTGAGGTCTGAAGACTGCCCTTTGGGTCGCCAAAGTTGATCCGATTCCACATCATGCTTACTCATGTTCCCTCACGCCAGTATGAATGAAACCTGAAGAAAGGCTGTTTTGAGTTTCCAATGCTCGAGCAAACTTAATATAAGTGTCATAAAATGGGGAACAGAATGGTTGGCTTCTTTTCGGTCTCACTTGAAGAACAACCCAACGGTGGCTCCCCCCCCAAAAAAAAACACGCGTAGTCAAGTTTTGTCTGTTGGAGTGACCGTGTATCAAAGAGAGCTCCTCCCTCATCTGGCTTTCTTTGGGCCTGTCAGGATCCGCGCTGGACACGTACAGTGTACAGCCACCTCTTGAGGGGACTGTGCGTTCCTTCAATGCAGCCATCAAACGTCCAAGGTGGTCAGGGGGCCTCGCAGAATAGGATTGAAATACATGCAAAATACAGCTCTGAACTTATTATACATGTATCACCAACATATCAAGCGGCTTGCCACTACACATCATGCCTCCCCGATTGGCCTACGTGCATCATCTCGCCGGCGGCCATCCTGGCAGGGTATTCGCACTGCAAACCGTCCTTCGGTCGGTAAAATCTAGCCTATCTGGGTGCCGCATAGGGGGTCCGAAAATATACATCAATCTGGCCATCCCCTGTTGGTTTCCCAATTAATGGGCTGTTGACCACCCAGTTATCCTACTTTAGGGAGTGGGCAGGAGAATCTGTGGCAAATTAGTTTTTTCATTGGCAAAAACCTTCCCGGAGATTCTCCTACCCAACCTTTGGAGACCTACGTTTCTTCCTTCCAAGCTGCACAACCTACCATTGGGATGGTGAACAGAAAGGTTGCGTTGGATGCCGGTGAATAAACACATTGACAAACACAGTATCAACAAACGACGCTTGCTCAGACTTTACCCTCTTAAGCCGACAAATAGAACGCAAACCAGCACGAGGTAACTATTGCAAAGGCAAATATAGCATGAATTGACAAAAGTCGCTGCACAATCACTCTTGGCAATGTGCTACTAGCCACATTCCCTTTATTTACTCTTTATCTCCATGTTGTCCAAATTGTGCGCTGTTAAGTCAAGCAGGCCCCAGCCACAATTGCCCACAAATCGCGTTGGCACCTTTCGTGTTTCGGCCGTTGCTTGTAGTTCCTAAAGCAAAGGCTAGCCCCACGTTTGCCCACATGTACACAGGTATAAATGTAATTGTCCTGAGAAGGCCTTCCCACATTGAGGGCCTTGAACATGTAGGGCCTGCAAACTGTTTATTGAACGATTTCTCAGGACCCCCTTACAACTTGCTGACACCCGCCTGCCTAAGTTCTCAGCATGGACCCGCCCTGCCCCCGAAAAAGGCATCAGGGAATCATAGTTGTTGCGGAGAGTACAGTGTACCCAAGGTCCCCTGTGCACCAAATAGCGGCGAATATTATCCTATTGGTTATACCACCTGTGATGCCATTTGTGTGATTTTGCGATCTTGCTGGCATGCAGGGAACCCACACTAGTCGCCTCACTCAGCCGCTCCTGGCTAATCCGATCTGCAAAGCTCCGACAGAGGCAAGGCAAACTAGTGCTGAGAACACACGACCGCAAACACACACGCTGAGGGCGTGTGTGTGTGTGTGTGTGTGTGTGTGTGTGCAGACACAACTCCAGCAAACAAGCAGGACGCACACAAGTGACCTACACTGGGTGTGTGTGTGTGTGTGACCTCTTGGTAGATGATGGACGCTCAGAAGCAATCACCGCCCGCCCCGCCTCCATTTCATGCACTACTTCCGCACCGGGCCAAGAAGATGCAACTCTGTCCAGCTGTGTCCAAAAATGTTGTGGCCGCCCAGTCTGAACAAGAACCAGAGCAAACAATACAGACAATAGCATCATCAATGTGTCACCACGGTCAGTCATTTTGACCAGTGCATGCTATCGACTTTGCAAGGCGCAGCTCGAAGCCAAGATGTCTCAAAGAAACCCACAGTCCCGAGGTCGTGCCTTGCTTGGTCTGTGAGGGCTCACGGAGTCTGACCCATATTCAACTGTCCTGAATGATTCAAGAGATATGCAGAAGCCAATTAAGCAGTCTGTACCAGTTGTAAACAGTTTACATAAAAGACCCCAGGTGAGATTTAAAAGGATCCTGCCCAGCCAAGGCTTCCAACATTGCCATGAGAAACAAACAATTAGCCCATCAAATCATCAACTCTTCCAGTCCTCCAGCCAGCACAGTTCGTGTCTGCGTTCAATCATAGTTAACATCTCAATCAATTCACAGGGCTTGCACAAAAAACTGAGAGCAGTGATCAGCGTCACACACCCTTGCAGCAAGAATTCAATGTCTAACTCGAACAGATGCTAATACTGAACGCACAACTTGGTGCAGGACCCTCAATCCTGACAGACGCGGCGCATTTGGACGCTGCGCGTGTCGACGGGCATTCTGCTCCTTGTGAAACCGACAATCGCTGTGTGCTGGCCGCTATTTCCG